TGTAACCAAGGTGCACTGGACAAGAACCTGAAACCACACAAAGGAGTCAAAGATGCTAATAAAGTTTACTACATGGATAAATATAAAAGCCAGTATTGTTCTATTTTTACTTTGAATTTTTTTCCTCTCTGACTTAAAAGACAAATACACTGAGCAATGATTATAAATCTATGTCAGTGGGCGCATGGTATCAATGTAAACTGTGATAACAACATAAAGTGGGAGGTACAGAACTGTGTGGGGCAGAGCTCTATACACTATTGAAACTAAATTGGTGTTAATTCAAACTAGGTTGTTATAAATTTAATATATTAATTGTAATCTCCACAGTCAGCACTAAGAAAATAACCTACAAATACATGCAACAGGAAACGAGAAGAGAATCAAAATGGCACACTAGAAATAATCAATTAAGCATAAAAGAGAGCACTAATGGAGGGCTATGGAACAAAAAAACAAGATGGTAAAAGGCCTTCTTTGTCACTAATTACTAAATGCAAATGGATTAAATACTCCAATTAAAAGGCAAAGATTGGGAGAATGGATTTTAAAAATACATGATCCATTTAAATACTGTCTATAAGACATTCACTTTAGATCCAAAGGCAGAGAGGAGTTAAAAGTGAAAGGGTGGAAAAATAGATTCCATTCAACTAGTAACCCAAAGAGTACTGAAGTGCTTGGTTATTCTGATACCAGCCAAAATAAACCCTAAGTCAAAAATTGTTACTAGAAACAAAGGACGTTCTATATTGATCAAAGGGTCAATCAAGAAGACATAACAATTATAAAACTATACACATCTAACAAGAGAGCCCCAAAATAAGTGAAACAAAAACTGGCAGAATGAAAGAGAGAAAGAGACAGTTTGGGGGCGCCTGGGTGGCTCAGTCAGTTAAGCGTCTGCCTTCAGCTCAGGTCACGATCCCAGGGTCCTGGGACGGAGCCCTGCATCGGGCTCCCTGCTCAGTGGGGAGCCTGCTTCTCCTTCTCCCTGCCCGCCCCCCGGCCCCGTGCTCTTTCTCACTATCTCTCTTTCTCAAATGGATGAATTTTTTTTTTTAAGATTTTTTTTTTTTTGTTTATTTGAGCGAGAGAGAGAGCACAAGCAGGGGGAGTGGGAGAGGGAGAAGCAGGCTTCCCGCTGAGCAGGGAGCCCGATGCAGGGCTCGATCCCAGGACCCTGGGATCGTGACCTGAGCTGAAGACAGAAGCTCAACAACTGAGCCACCCAGGCGCCCCAGATGAAGTCTTAAAAAAAAAAAAAGACAGTTTTACTATAATAGTTGAAGACTTCAACACCCCACTTTCAATAATGGATGGACCATCTAGACAGAAGAGCAGTAAGGTAATAAAGACTGAACAACATCATAAACCAGCAGACCTAACAGACACATACAGACACTCTATGCAACAGTGGAATATCCTTAGACGTATTCCTAGAATATGCTTAGATGGTCTTAGAGATACATCCCTAGAGATAAGTGAAAATGAAAGCACAACACACCAAAACTTATGGGATGCAACAAAAGCAGTGCTCAGAGAGAAATTTTTAGCTATGAATGCCTACGTAAAAGAGATCTCAAATCACTAACCTAATTTTACATGTTAAGAAGCTAGAAAGAAGAGCAAACTAAACACACATCTAGCAAAGGAAGAAAATAATAAAGATCAGAGGGGAAATAAATGAAATAGAAAGTAAAAAAAAAAAAAAAGAGTTAAATCAATGAAACCTTTGAAAAGATCCACAAAATCAGCAAACCTTTAGCCAGCCCAAGAAGAGAGGGAACTCAAATTACTGAAAACCAAAATGAAAGTGGGTACCTGACTAACAGAAACTTGAAAGGATTCTAAGAAAATACTATAAACTGTGTGCCAACCAGTTAAACAAAAGGAAAACATTTGTAGAAATATATAAACTACCAAATCTGACTCAAGAAGAAATACAAAATCTGAACAGACCTATAACAGATAAATAGATTGAATCATTAATCAAAACCTTCCAACAAAAGGGCCGTCTGGGTGGCTCAGTCAGTTAAGCGTCTGCCTTCAGCTCAGTTCATGATCCCAGGGTCCTGGGATCGAGTCCCGCGTCGGGCTCCCTGCTCCATGAGAGGCCTGCTTCTCCCTCTGCCTACCGCTCCCCACTAGTCATGCTCTCTCTCAAATAAATAAAATCTTTAAGAAAAACAAAAAACAAAACAAACAAAAACCCTTCCAACCAGATGGCTTCACTGATGAATTCTATCAAACATTTAGAGAATAACACCAATCCTTCCCACTCTTCCAAAAAAATAGAAAAGGAGGAAACACTAAACTCAATTCTGTGAGGCCAGCATCACTGTACCATAGCCAAAGACATCACAGGAAAGGAAAACCACACACCTACATCCCTTACAAACATATATGCAGAAATCTCCTCAACAGACAAATCTATACACGAAACTTAATTAGTGTGGTGCAGGGCTGGTGGGAGCAGGGTCCGAAGGGTGAGGACTACAGAACACCAGGTCCCTGTGTGAAGTGATCAAAGTGTTCTAAACCTGACTGTGGGGGGTGGGGGGGGGGGGGCTGCGGGTTCCGAGGGAGGTAAAGGGGGAGGGCGGCGAGGACCTCAGCGGCCGAGGGTGACTGTGGGGGGTGGGGGGGGGGGCGCTGCACAGATCTGGGAAAACACTAAAAACCATAAGACTATAGACTTTGATGGGTGAATTGTGTGGCATATGAATAAAGCTGTTATATTAAATGTAACTAATGTAAACACCCAGTTAAAAGGTGAAGATTATCAGATTGGATTTGCTGTCTACAAGAATCTATAGGGAGGGGCTACTCTTTAAAAGAGGTGCCCTTCAACAAATGGATTAAAAATTTAAAGAGATGGAAAACATATACTATGTTAACACTAGTCAAAATAAAGCCAGAGCAGTTAAATTAATATCAAACAATGTAGATTTTGGAGCAAAGAAAATCAGCAAGATCAAGAGGGTTATTTCACAAGGATGAAGGGTTAATTCTTCATAACAACCCTAAATGTTAACAGAGTTTCAAAATATTGTTAACCCAAACTGATAAAACTACAGAGAGGAATAGACAAATGTACAGAGTTAGAGATTTCAATGCCCCCTTTCAATAACTGACAGAACAAGTAGACCCCAAATCAGCAACACGGCAGATTTAAACAAGACTGTCCTCAGCTTGACCTGATTCACATTTATGGAAAACTCCATCCAACACCAAGAGCTACACAACCTTCTCAAGTGCACACGGAACATTTGCTAAGATAGACCACACGTTCAAGACAAAGTATGTTCTCTTACTACAGAACAGTTACATTAGAAATCAGTAACAGAAAATATCTGAAGAGCCTCTCAAATATTTGGAAACTAACATACTTCTAAATAATCCATAAATAAGTCAAAAGAAAATTAGGTGTTTTGAAACAGAACGAAAATGAAAAGAACATCACAATGTTCCTAAAGTGATAGTAAGAGGGGAATTTATATCATGAAATGCCTATATTAGAAAAAAAGAAAAGTCTCAAATCAATGACCTCAGTTGCCACCTTAAGAATTAGGAAAAGAACAGCGGTACCTGGGTGGCTCAGTCGGTTGAGCAATGGACTCTTGGTTTCAGCTCAGGTCCTGATCTCAGGGTCACTGGGGCTCTGTGCTCAGTGGGGAGTCTGCTTAAGATTCTCTCTTCCTCTGCCCCTACCCCCCACCCCGCCCTGCCCCACCCCCCACTTGAACGCACTCACGCATGTGCACTCTCCCTCTAAAATAAAATAAGATCTTAAAAAAAAAAAGAATTAGGAAAAGAACAAATTAAACTCAAAGTAAGCAGAAGAAAATACAGATCAGGGTGGAAACAGAAAACAGACAAAACAGAAAAAAAGAATATAGAAAATCAATGAAACCAAAAGCTAGTTCTTAGTAAGATTTTTAAAATATTGGACAAAAACAAATCTAATGTCACAGGAAAAGAAATTTAAGAAGTAGAGGTGGGGCGCCTGAGTGGCTCAGTCGTTGAGCCTTCGGCTCAGGTCATGATCCCGGGGTCCTGGGATCGAGCCCCGCATCCGGCTCCCTGCTCCGCGGGAAGCCTGCTTCTCCCTCTCCCACTCCCCCTGCTTGTGTTCCCTCTCTCGCTGCGTCTCTATCAAATAAATAAATCTTTAAAAAAATTAAAAAAAAAAGAAATTTAGGTGTACTGGGTTCTTAATAAGTGATAAACTTTATTATTCAGGATACTTTTCACCAGGATTTGAAAACGAAATTATGAAAGTTAATAAAAGAAAATCTTATTTGGAGCAGAGTCAGGAGGCCGGCAGGGGGAGCTCTGTGCCCAGCACTGGTTATCAACTGCAGACCCAATAGGAAGAGAGGCACCTTACAGGTGGGTACTACTTTAGTAACCCAGCTCCAGAAAGGACGGTTTCCTACTACCCTGGCAACAGCCCAGCCAATGGAAGACGGCCACAGCCCAGCCAATGAGAAGCCACTATACTCCAGCTCCCAGCTTACTCCAATCGCCTTTCTGTTTACAACAACCCCCCCCCCCACGCCCCCTCCCACACCCTATAAGAAGGGCCTCCTCTGCTTCCTCTCCGGACGTGCCTGTGGTTGTGGCGGAAACTGTGTGTCGTTGGCGGGGATTCTCTGCCAATCCCGGAGCGCCCCTCCTCTGCTGGTGCATCAGCGGGCGGTGTTACTGTTAAGGTTAACGTTGTTTAAGTACACAAGTCAAAAGAAACCATTCCTTACAGTTGAATAATAAACCAACAGGGTCGGGGCGCCTGGGTGGCTCAGTCGTTAAGCGTCTGCCTTTGGCTCGGGTCATGGTCCCAGGGTCCTGGGATCGAGCCCCGCATCGGGCTCCCTGCTCCACGGGAGGCCTGCTTCTCCCTCTCCCACTCCCCCTGCTTGTGTTCCCTCTCTCGCTGTGTCTCTCTCTGTCAAATAAATAAAATCTTAAAAAAAAAAAAAAACAGGGTCACTAACCTCCTCGGGGTGAAGGAGAAACGTGCCCGCCAATGACCACGGGGATACCAGAACCTTCCAGCTTCACCTTCCATTTCTCAATGATAGTCATAGACTTATCCTGAAAGCATGAGGACATTGGCAGTTCAGGAAACTTCCTCAAAACACTCACCTGTGACACATGCTAGGGCTACATCACCAACAGCAAGTTCACAAATACCTTACTGGCATCATTAAAAACCGAGAGCTCCATGGAGCCTTCGAAGTCCTGTTGCAAAACAGACTCCAAGCACTCATTCAACCACGGTTCGGCGTTGTGGACTGGGAGGATGATAGACTGCAATTCAAGAGAAGTGGGTTAACATATACACGTGTGAAAGCTGATGCCTTTTCCTCCACTCTAATTTTCTTCCCCATTACCACTGAGCGTCTCCAAAGGCGGAGGCCTGGCTTCCAGAGAAATAATGTGCCCCCCAAAACAGAAGGTGCCTGTTCCTTCTCACCAAGCTCTTAACGTTCTTTGGCTGCCTAAGATTTATTATGTCTTAGATTTCCCTGAATTGGGGAAAGTATCCTTTTGGATACTTTTGAAAAGCAAACAAGAATCTGAGAGGCACCAAAAATCTTCCCAATTCAATGGCAAATTCATGTGCTTTCCAAACACTGGTCAGAAACATCATTTTGGTTGAAACAGGCATCTGTGTATCTTCCAACCCACTCATGAAAATAACCTATTGGTCCTTTTCTCGGTGGAGTAAGCATTTTCAAAGAAACTGCAACAAAACTCAATTTTTAAGTCCCTGGACACATGCTTTAACAAAGTATGGGGTGGGTGCTGGGAAAATGGGGGTGACCTCCATGGACCTCTCTGTCCTTTTGCTCTACTTAGTTTAGGAGTTTGGTGCGGTCCTTCTCTCCTATAGCCCAGATAAAACGAAAATGTCTAAAGTGTACGGGGTAAAACCAGCGAAACCTGCCAACAAATGAACTGATTACAGGAATCGTCTTAACTTTGTATGTTACCACGTTAAGCAATTATAGAATACCCAAAGATAGAAATTAGTGCCTCCCCGCCCTAGAGTTTATACCCTACTGAGGAGTGGACAAATTCCTAAATAAGAAAACAAACACTGGTCATCCAGGTGCGCATAGTACATATGCATACACACACGCATGGCACAAACATACATGCACATCTACACAGAAAATGGATAGGATTATAAAAATAACAAATCCGAATATGGTTTTGAAAAGCTCATAGACTGAAAGTATAATTCAGTCAAGTTCTTTACTCAGGATCTGATTCAACACAGGGATAACCCTTCCCGAATTTATGTTATCCAAAAAAGTGGTCACCTAATTTACTTATATATTTATTGTTAAAGGAAACATTATTCTTTAAAGGAAAAGGAAAAAGTATCTTTACTGTTCTCAAGATCTGCAATATAAAACATAACGTGAATTTCCGTCCAAGGTGGGCCTTGATGAACTTCCTGGGCTGCAGGCTGCTTCGGGCGGAGACCCTCCCAAGCAAGCCCCCGGGAAGTGCGGACCCGCCGCGGGGAGAGGGAGGGGGGAGGGGGGCGGAGGCGGCTCCCGCGGCCCGCGGCCCCGGCACCTACCACGTGGGGCACGGCGGCGGCTGCGGCGGCGGAGTCCCCCCGGGCCCGCATGGCCACGCGCTCCTCCGGCCGCCCCGCCCTTTAAGCCCGTGGCACTCCACCGCCCACGTCGGCCTGCGGCGCGTGCGCGGGCGGCTCGCCGAGAAGCGCGGCCGAGGCCGGGGCGCATTCGATTGGCGCGGAGAGCCGTCCATCGGCGGGGAGTGGAGAGGAGCGGTCTACAGAGGCCGGAAGCCCGGGTGGG